CATAAGTCCTCAAGTTTACATATAACTATCTTATGTTTATTTTAATTGTTTTATTTGTTTTTCTTTAGGATCCGTTTTATTCTAGGAGTCTTTTATTTATTAGTTTAAATACCTTCATTGTTTACCCTTTTGGAATATAGATCAATTTATTATAATTCAATTCTCTACAATTGAATAGGGAGAGACTGCAGCCTCTTGAAAGCTATAGGGTTTTAATACTCTAATCTTGGCAACCTTTTGTCGACTCTTATCAAATTGGTATCAGAGCCTACCGCCGCTGTTCTGGATTAGTAATCGTGTTACTATCCATGAATTATTGTTCACGATCACTGTTTACGATTACTATTCACGCGATAATGACTCGATCAACAATATCGAGGATGGACGAGGTGGAGGGAAGCTTGGGAACGGTCCAAGAGGAGGTGAAGTCGCTGAAGGATGACATGCAGAAAGCGATCAAACAAATGGAAACAATGTTGATATTGCAAGAAGAAGCGCTTAGGAGAACGGAGAAGAGCGGGGGAGAGGATGAAAGCGAAGACAATGGACAAACAAAAAAGGCGGACTATCACGTAGAAAAAACTACGATACTGGTCAGTTCCTTGCGATAAGGGGGAGGTAACTAGAGTTACCTGTGTTCGAAGGGACAGACCTAGACGGTTGGATATTGAGGGTTGAAAGGTATTTCGCTCTAAACAAACTAACCAATGGAGAAAAACTAGAAATCTCGATCATTGCTTTTGAGGGTGACGCCTTGTTGTGGTTCTAGTGGGAGAATAAGAGGAGACCCATTAGGTTATGGGAAGAATTAAAAACATTATTGCTTCATCAGTTTAGACCAGTGGGGGAGGGATCTTTAGGTGAGCAATTATTGGCCGTTAAGCAAGACGGCACGGTGGCAGAATACAAAAGAAGGTTTGTTATGTTGGCAGCCTCGTTAGAAGATATTCCGGATGAAGTTTTGTTAGTCAATTCTTAAACGGGCTGAGTCCACAAATCTGGGCAGAAGTCCGCACCCTCGCACCGGTGGGATTGGGAAAGGCCATGGAACCATCTCAGAGGATAGAAGAAAAAAACAAGATTTTAGCAAGAATAAATAACCCAAAAGGTAGCTGATTGAACAAGCGTAATGGAGAAGGATATGTGGGAAACAAGGGATTTGTTGAACCCTCCAACAAGAGTAGTGGGCAGAGAGGAAAATTTGTCAGGGAATTTAGAAGGTTGTCCGATCAAGAACCTCAACAACGTAGGGCTCAAGGTTTATGTTACAGGTGTGATGAGAAGTTTTCTCCAGGTCACTGATGCAAAAAGAAAGAGCTTAGCGTGTTGGTGGTTCAAGAGGCGGAAGAGTACAACATCGATGAAGACGCGGAAATGGGGGAGATGACGGAATTGGCGGGGATAGAAACAGGAGAAGTGGAAGTATCATTGAATTCAATAGTGAGGACTGTCAACAACGAAGACTATGAAGCTAGAAAGAGAGGTAGAAGACCAAGGTAGTTGTTTTAATTGACAGCGGGGCTTCCCACAATTTTATAGCCACGATGTTAGTTGAGAAACTCGGGTTATCTACAAGAATCACAGAAGAATATGATATCTCAATGGGAGCGGGAAAAGCCATGAAGGGACGGGGAGTATGTTAAGGGGTGAAGCTAAGTATGCAAGGAATTAAAGTTGTGGAAGAATTTTTGCCCATCAATTTGGGGAACTCGGACATAATATTAGGTGTTAAATGGTTGACCTCACTGGGACCAACATGGGTGAATTGGCAAAACCAGGTTATGAGATTCAAAAAAGGAGGGGAAACCCTAACCTTAAAAGGAAATCCAACTCTTGACAGATCCCTAGTATCATTAAAATTGATGATGAAGACACTAAGGAATGAAGGACAAGGGGTGTTAATTGAATTAGAAAATGTGGAAGCTGAGAACAAGGGTAGCAAAACGTTATCGAACAACATGGAGAAACTAATAAAGGAGTATGAGGCTGTTTTTTGTATTTCAGATGGGTTGCCACCAAAAAGAGGAAGAGAACATGGGATTGTGCTTAAGCAAGGAGTAGAACCGATCAATGTTCGCCCTTATCGTTACCCACAATACCAGAAGGATGAGATCGAAAATTGGTCAAATAAATGTTGAGTGCAGGAACCATCCAATATAGCCAAAGTCCATTCTCAAGTCCGGTACTTTTGGTTAAAAAGGACGGGAGTTGGAGATTTTGCGTTGACTATAGAGCTTTGAATAAAAATACATTACCGGACAAATTTCCAATCCCGATAATTAAGGAGTTACTAGATGAATTACACAAGGCTGCTTATTTTTCAAAACTGGATCTTAAATCTGGCCACAGCAAATCAGAATGAAGGAGGAGGACGTACACAAGACCGCTTTTAGAACACATGAAGGCCACTACGAGTTTCGGGTTATGCCTTTAGGCCTATCCAATGCTCCGTCCACATTTCAAGCACTGATGAACGATATATTTCGATCTTTTTTAAGAAAATTCATGTTGATATTTTTTGACGATATTCTGGTGTACAGTAGGGACGAAAGTGATCATGTAAAGCACTTAAGGGGGGTCTTTAAGGTGCTGTTGGAAAACAACTTTTATTTGAACAGGAAAAAGTGTGAGTTCGGCCAAGAAGAACTAGTATATTTAGGGCACGTGGTCTCAAAAAAAAGGGGTGTCCATGGATATGACAAAAGTTGAGGCAATGCTCAAATGGCCAACACCAAAAATTGTAATTTTTGGGTTAAACATGGTTACTACAGAAAATTCATCAAGGGGTACGGGCATATTGCAAGGCCTTTAACGATTTGTTGAAGAAACAAGGATTCAAGTGGCAAAAGGCAGCTGATAACAAGGTACAAAGTGAGCGTATTTGCTTAACCGATCGATAGAAATAGGGCTTTTCTTAGCAGTTTTTGGAAGGAAATTTTCCAATTACAAGGTACGAAGTTAAAATTCACCATTGCATATCATCCACAGTCTGACGGACAAACGGAAGTTGTCATTTGTCAACCGCACCATTGAGCAGTACTTACGGTGTTTTACGTCAAACAAGCCACGACTATGGAAGAGGTGGTTGGCATGGGCTGAATATTGGTACAAAACCACATACCACAGCTCCATTTGTTGTTCACCGTTTAAAGCATTATATGGGAGAGATGCTCCAACAATATTGCAATTTAAAGAAGGCTCAACCGTTGTTCCAACCGTGGAGCAAATGTTAAAAGACATAGATGATGAGATTGATTTGCTACGAATGTTCTTAATGCAAGCACAACACAAAATGAAACAATCGGCTGATGGGCATAAGGAGGTAAATTTTGACGTTGGAGATACGGTTTTCTTGAAGCTTAGGCCTTACCGACAGAAATCTTTAAAGAAAAGCAACAACCAAAAGCTGTCTGCACGTTTTTATGGACCATTTAAAGTGGTAGGCAAGGTGGGAAGGGTGGGTTATCGCTTGGAATTGCCGGCATCTACACGACTCCATCCAGTGTTTCATGTCTCTCAATTGAGGAGAGCAACTGGACAGTGTGCCTCGTCAACAATAATGCCGAATCAACTAAATGACGATACGGAAATGATAGTAGAACCAGAAGATATCCTACAAGTACGAACAACACAGGACGGAAGACAAGAGGCATTAATCAAATGGAAGAATTTACTTGTGTTTGAAGCCTCCTGGGAAGATTGTGAAGCGTTGAAGATGCAATTTCCTTCTTTTCATCTTGAGGATAAGATGCAAGTCTTGCGGGGGGGTATTGATAGACTTTAGAGTATAAAGACATATTCAAGAAGGAAAGAAAGGAGGGCAGATTAATAAGATAAAGATAAAGCAAGTCTTGGATAAGTCATAAGTCCTCAAGTTTACATATAATAACTATCTTATGTTTATTTTAATTGTTTTATTTGTTTTCTTTAGGATCCATTTTATTCTAGGAGTCTTTTACTTATTAGTTTAAATACCTTCATTGTTTACCTTTTTGGAATATAGATCAATTTATTATAATTCAATTTTCTACA